TATTAGAGAGTGATCAGTTAAGAATTGAAGTGATTTATACTTGTTTAAGTTATTTTTTGAGGAAGTCGGGTAGTGAAATTTTGAATTAGGAGTTGAGTACTGAATTGGTGAGTTGGAATAGGCTAGGCAGGTCAATTGGGACTTGCTTGAGTCCCTAAGTTGCTAAAAATTGTAGTAAAAGTGGTAAAATGTGATTTGGGTCAATGAGTTGATGAATTGGATGTTTTAGAGCAGAAATTTGTTAGCAAACACTTTATAATGAGATTAGGAAGGTTCAGACACACTTAGTCAAGTATAATTAGGTATATTACACAATTTATGAGGGTTAGAAGTTGGGTAAAGTGGTTGAAATTGGTAAATTTGGTGTAGATTGCGTAATTCTACAGATTTGGTGTTGTAGATTATGCAGACTCGCTGAGCGAATAGAGTCGCTCAGCGAGTGGTCGTGGAGGTTGGATCCCTATTTGTTGGTTTGCACAGCGAGAAGGGTCGATGAGCGAGAGGTCTGGGTCTGGGAGCACTGTGATTTTATTTGACCAGCGCATTGGAGTGGCTGAGCGAGTAAGTTGAGGGACTGGTCCATTGTCGGGTGAGTTTTGCTTAGCCAGTGATGTCTCTAAACGCGAGTTCAGGGTATGGTATCACTGGGAATTTTATTCGCTCAACGAGCTGGGTCGTTGAGCGAGTGAGTTGGAGGTTAAGGTCACTGTTAATGGATTCGCACAGTGAGCTGGGTCGTTGTGCGAGTAAAGTCTGTGGTCGCTCAATGAGTGTGTGTGCGAGTAAAGACTGTTCCAAATTACCATGTATCCTTTTATTATATGATCTCTATTGGTTTGAGTTATGTAATTGATTCAATTATGGATGATGTATGATTATATGATGTATGACTATGTATGGGTATTATGTGAGTATCAAAAGTTATGTGTGTCATGAAATTGTGAAAGTGTGCATAATTGTATTGGTCAAATGATTCCACGAATGGTTATATGGGTTCCACGGGAGGACTCTTTCGGTATGGTTAAGTGTTATTAGAATGAATACAGGGAGCTCAGTATTGGGGGTTATCCTAACACTTTAATAATCTTTCATTCTCACATAGAGATGATTGATTCATGTGATGAGAGTAATAGGAGGTCCTAGTGTAGGCACTACTTTGAGGCCTATTGTGCGGTAACAGACTAACCTTGTGTGTGTGGTAGGGTGAAACCCATGGAAATGGCTTTGCAAAGCAGTAGAGGCCACCACAAGTGCACAAGCTGCCATAGTTTGGTATTCATTCTAATTTCGGAAAATCAAGTCTAAGTCATAACATGTTTAGGATGTTTGAGGTTAATTATATCATATGAATGAGTTACGTTTTGATTGTATGTTATACTAATGTATGAATCTTTTATATCTAGCTTACCCTTCTGTCTGTGTTTATATTTGTATGTGGCTATGTTTCTTGTCTGGCTATGATCATCCGGTGGGTGTGAGCAGAGGGAGAAGAGCTTACTGTGAAGTAGACGCTTGATGAGGATGATCCGGTGGCTTAGTTATTTTAGTCTAGTTCGTAGATAGTTTTGTTTTATCATGTTTGTATATAAAGTTTAAATTTATAGTTGTTTTGGATAACTATAAGTTATACTTTATATTTTATTTAACTATTCTATCATATCATACACATGATGACTCTTTTATATAGTATTTTACCAATATTTTTGGGATGTTACACATAACAGTTCCTTTTAGTTCATATTGCAATTCAATGTAGTTCAGTGTAGTGTAGTTTGATAGAACAAAAAATAATTTAGTTTAGTTTATCTAAACTAATTTTTAGGTCATTTAGTTTAGGCGAATTATTTTTTTTGTTCAATGCAGGTTTTAACAGTTCAGTGCAATTCTATTAATTTTGTCTACCCATAATTGTGTTACAACTCCTTTCTTACATCATGAAAAAAACTCTTAAACCTAAGCTGAAACAATATTTTGAAGTATTTTTAATGTAATTAATGGATCTAACTTCTCACTACCAAAGAACCCATACAATTTAAATTCTTGACACTTTTCAAATTTGACTTCATAATCAATAATTATTTTAACATACCTCAATATTATTTTTTCTTCTCTTGAATTCATTTTACTTGCATAATGATAAAACAAGACAAGAGACTTACAACAAATAGATTGTACAACCTTGTTACGGTGAGATAGATTAGACATTGAATCAACCTTCTACAATATCCTTCGTCAATTTTATTAGCACCATCTTCCTTGCTGAAAAATAATTCTCCTTTTGATTTATCAATGTGTTAAAAGATTTGCATTCCTCCATTTGAAATTTCTTAAAAATTTCTTTTTAATATTTTCTTTGAAAGATTAGAACCTCATTCTTACTTTTTTTTATCTCAATTTTAAGAAAATAATTCCTGAGACCTATATCTATCATTTCAAAAACTTGCATCATTTCTAGCTTGAACTATTCAACTAGTATTGTGTAATCTCTAGTTACTTAAATATCATCATCATATAGAGAAATTATTCAACTAGTATTATGTAATCTCTAGTTACTTAAATATCATCATCATATAGAGAAATTATGAGAGAGTTATTTCCTTTATGTTTCACATAAAAAGTATATTCATGTAAGCTTTTTTAAAGCATATGATCAATTGAAAATCATTTATCTTGTTGTGACAGTGGACCTTTTTAAGAAAATACACTTTTGTCTTTTTCACCTTTCTTCAATGATCCTTTTGGCTGCTCCACATATACTCTTGAAGTTATCCATTTTAAAATAAATTATTTAATATCTAACTAGAATATTTTTCAGTCATTTTGCATGGCCACTACTAACACCAATATCTAATATGGACATGATATGGACATAAGGATAAAAGTGTCAAAATAATAAACATCTAAACTTTGTGTATACACTTTTACTATGAGTTTAACCTTGTGCTTATTGATTGAGTATTCCACATCTAGTTTTGTTGTGAAAAACCCATTTATCTCCAATGATTTTTCTATCTTCAGGCTTTTCAACAAGTTCCCAAGTCTTACCTTTTTTTTAACGGTGGCTAACTCCTTTTGCATATTATATATATATATATATATATATATATATATATATATATATATATATATTAATCATTCTGAACATATATATAAGAAAATATTTTCAAGTCGATTATTTTATTTTATTTTATCTCAACATAATTTTCTTTTTTGTGCTGAATTTTACATTTATTTTTGTTGTTTGTGTTTGCATTTGTCATTTAGTTTTATTGATGATTTAATAAAAATATTTATACATTTTATTTTATTAAAAGATATTACTTTTATTCATAATTATAGTTTATATAAGATAATTATTAGTATTTATGTTATAAATTAAATTAAAATGGTAAATTATGCAATATGTTGTGCAATCCTCTAAAAATAGATGATAGATTTATTAGATTTAGAAAGTATGGTTGAAAATGCTCTCATGGATTTATGATAAATTGAAATAATTATAATGCAGTAACTTAAAATTTTACAAAAAGAAATGTTCTTATTTAATATTTAAGATTAAATACGTATTTTTCTTTTAAGTATAAATCCTTAGTATTTTTATACTCAACATTTAAAGTAAACATGTTAAATTAATCATCTAGTAAAATATTTGGAGGTACGTTCACATGTGATATAGTATAAAGGTCATAAAATATCAAGTACGACTAAATTCATATATTTATTAAATATTAAAATTACTTTTGGAAGAATCAAAGCTTCTTTAACTTTAACATTTATATAAGTATTTTATATTTATAGAAGTGTACTTAATATTTCAAAAACCTAAAATAATGTATAAATAATTATTTGAGCGTAAATTAAAATTATTTATTTATTTAATAAAAAAAATATTTATATTTTTTACCATAATAATTTTATTTTTAAAAACAATATCTAAGTATTTAACATTCTAAAAAGCAATTACTTTAATTTTTTGTGATAATTTTTAATTTTTTTTAATTTAAGATTACGTTGATTATGCGAATAAAGTGAAATTTTATGACGTAATTAAAAGAGAAAAATAAAATTGAAATGAATTATGTTTCTTTTTCTTTTAAAATACACTATAAAATTGACTTCAATCATACTCTGCATTTAAAATTTATCATTCAAAAACAACTAAGTACGTCTTAAAAAACACTACCTAAATATAATCTGTAAAAGTAAAGTTATTATAATAAAAAATATAAATATGCTTTTAACTAATTACATTAACAATTTGTTTATATATTAATGATTAGTTTACATGTTACTTTATGTTTTATTTGCACTTTTGTAATTGAATATAGATATATAAATAGTCAAAAAGATAAGAAGCTAAAAAGAAGGTGAAGTCATAATTCCAATTTAAAAAAATAAAAGTAATACAGTAACAGAAAAATACACAAATTTATCAATTGGGTAACAATTTCTTCGAAGTGTCAAGAAACGGAGAAGGTTAAAAGCAGTTATGATATAAATGAAAGCTTTTGAGATGAAATCATACATTAATAGTGTGGTTTTGCATTCATTTCAGAAATTTCTTAATCAAAGCATAAAGCTTTTTGAGCACAGATGAAGGCAAAATAAAAACAATAATAATTTCCACTTCATATTAACAACTTAATTTGTTCAAGAAATGTTGTCGAATAAACAAAAAAAAAAAATCCCTTTATGAAACGGGAAGGACCAAAACTATATATTCTAAGATTTGGATGATTTATAATATTCTAATATATCTTATCATAATTAAAGAATCTCATTCTAAAAGGAAGGGAAATGAGAACTTCTTGTTACAAAGCAGCTTGATTATCTATCACTGACCTCTCCTATTTCTCAAGGTATTTTATTATTACTATTTTATCAAAATAAAAGAAAAAAAAATAACTAAATAGATTTTAAACAAAATAATTTCCAACTGATAAAAGAAATTTCATTTTTCACCTTCCTTTTAGATTTATAAGCATAGAACTATAAGCAAGGGTAAAAAAGGTACTCCCATAATATAAAGAAAAGCACCAAATAACCTTTTTTGCAACAATTCCACTCAATGAATCCAAGAACTATTAGTTAGCATCTTGTCTTTACGAAATCTAACAGAAAATCTCAAAGCTCAAGGTTCCTTTTTTTTCAGTACAAAAATAATCCATTTCCTCTGTCACTTTTTTGTGACAGAAACGTAAACAATCTATGATCCTTCCTTCTATTCTAAAACCTTTTGCACAGTACTGAGATTATTTTTGTACATCTCTGTAAAACATGTACTGTATGAAGCCTGAAATTACAAAACTCAAACCTGAGTCACGATTCAGGCATCTATGCCCACATCATCTTTAAATTTCTACAAAACAAAAGAGGAAAAGAGATTAATTAGTCAATACAACATTGCAACTTAGGAGTAGGTACGCAATATCCAACTTAACTCACATTTGAGACATCCTTGAACAAGTTGAGAGTTTTCAGAGCCTTCCCTGATTGTTGTGTTTCACGCGCCACAGCCACCCCTTCAGCTAGGTTCCTTACACGGCCACAAACCAATAGAGCCGCTGCTGCATTTAGAATCTAACCGATTCGTTTGCACAGAACAATTAAAAGAAAAGAACATTCATAAGAACTGAGTCATGTTTTAAACATATTTTGGAACATTCATAAAGAACGAGATAAAGATAATAAATCCATTAGTGTTGGATGTGAGGGGATGTATTAGAAAGAACCCTGGTCCCATATTGACCAGAAATAAAAGATAATCCTCATCTTCCAAACCAGTTTTATAGGGTTTAATTAAAGCATAAACATAATTTGAAGGTAACAAAGGTACACGTTCCATCTCAATCAAATTTTCATAAACTCCCAGTTAAAAGCATCATTTATATATTTCATTCCAAGGCTATAGCATCTTCCACCACTTACAAAGGTATCATCCTCTCAGCCCCATAAATAATTTTAAAGAAATAAAAAAAAAAAAAAAGGAAAGGAAACAGATTACTCACTAAAGCATCTGCAATAGGCCCTCTCTCTCCACCTAGAACACGCTTCAGAACCTCTGCATTGTACTCGGGATCACCACCTTTTAAGTCCTCAACAGTACAACGAGGAATGTCAAAGTCCACTGTTCCAATAAAAGATCCATTATAGCACTCAATTAGCGACACGGAGCTATATTAGTTTACTCCATAACAGAAACAGATAAAACCATAAATTGACATATATGCTTACAGGGATCAAATGAGAACTTATCAACCCTGTCAGTAGTAACATCAAGCACTAAACCAGGTCCTGCATGTAATGCAAATAATAAGATCAGATACAGTACCGATTTAGAAAAACTTCTCAAAATCACACTTAAGGGATGAGAAAATATGGTTATAAAATGAATCAATCCTCTCTTCTCATAAGTTAAATTATTCACCCCTAACTTTTTTAGAAGTTTTCTCGTCGAACATTTTCAAAAGTGGAAGCATATAACTTCATTCCAACTCATAATAGGAGTTTGATTCACTTTTTAACCTCTTTATTTCTTCTCCAATATGCTCTTAGGTAGAAGTTTATTCATAATAGGCTTAAGATATTCATGACTCGAAAAATTATTTAGATGCAGAAACAAGCTAGAGATCTTACCAAGAGGACTCATCTCATCCAAACCTTCAGAGTGAACAACTAAAGCCCTTTTCATGCCAAATCTGTTGAGTGCTTTAGCCATTTTGGAGACCTATCCAGAAGAACATGACAAATAGCTAATTAGGGATGACAGATGGAGAAGGACAGAAACAATTAGTCCTCAACCATTCAGCCTCTATCTTCTTTTTAAGGAAAAAGATACAAAAGTAAGAAACAAAAGCAAATGTTTCTGGAATACGAGTATAAAAAACCACATAATCCATAATGTTTATTTGACAAATAGAATTGCCCAATAAAACATGTCAAATTCGATTTCTGGTACAATCTCCTCAGTTAAACAGAATGACTCTATAGGGATGAATTGTTCAACCAATGGATTATAGAGATTTTTTTAGAAGGATACATATAAAGAAATGATGAAGGAAAAAAGAAAACAACACTAGTTGGGGTTCAAATGCTTCACAGACCAAGTTTTAGAATAAAGAAGAAAAAAAAATATTAAATTAAGTTGATAACACAAAAGAATTCAACTTGTGGGTAGGATTTCAATGTGAACATTACTTCAAAATTCAACCTGATTTTCAAAAATTATAAATCTTCACATTCCAAATTTAGAGCAAATAGACTTTTATATTATATCCTTTCATGATTTTAATATTCTATCCTTAACTCAATTTTCGCTTACCAAAAACTTGAAAAGAAGATTACTCTTCATGTAAATGATTTCGAGTGACACGAAAGTCATTTCTGTAAGATTATTTGAAAAAATAACAAGTCAAAGCTGTAAGACTGGATGGCACTTACCAAGTCCTCTGTGTATACTCCAACAACTGCAAAAGGTGCGTGTGCTGGATTCAACATTGGACCCAATATGTTGAATACAGTTTTGATCTTTAACTTCTTTCTTATTGGCCTGACAATCTTCATCGACGGGTGATATTTTGGAGACATCATAAACCCAATCCCAGCTTCATTCACACACTTCTTTACTCCCTAATTCACAAAACAAAACAAATACGCAAACACATCAATAAATAACAATTTTTGTTCAATAAATCCTATCGATGCTGGACAAACATACAAACATATAGTCAACATACACAAAAAAATGCGTATTACTGAGAAATATATGCATTAGAGCTTAACTAACAAACTTACCCAACTCTATTATTTTCTAAGTTAATCCGAAATACACCACATTATTATAAAGTATCAATTTCATTATATAAATTCAATACTAACAGAAAGAGTAGGATTGTTAATATAAAGCAGCAGTAGTCACAGTTCCAGATTTGTGACAATCTCTGGTATTACAAAATAAAGACAACTTAAATGCATTTGCTCATGTGTTTCTAGCGTTGTTTTCCAATCAGAATTAAAGTATCACCTCGACTATATGTATAATAAAGGCATACATCAAGGGAGCTTTTGGTAATCCGATTCCTGAAATTTCTAAGAATGATTAACACCTATTTGATTGGTCCTGTATATTCTTTGGACATTTAGTATCAAAAACTTTAATTATTTACCACATAAATAATTAATAAAAGTACTGTTAATGTTTTTCTCAACTTGGGAAAGTTAAATAATGCAGCTTTTTTTTACTGCAATAAAACCCTCTTTCCATCTAGCATCAAAACAATTTTATGGGAAAAAAATATATATAAAAAAAAAATTGGTAATTGATATTTTGCACTAACCTCAGGACCTAAATCAATCACCACTCCCAGAGCTTCTAACACGTCTGCACTTCCACACGCAGAAGAACTTGACCGGTTCCCTTGCTGCAACACATCACCCTTTCAAATTTCAACCACATAATTTCAATTCACTCACACACTGCAACTTAACAACAGCAAACACCTTCGCAACTCTGGCACCGCAAGCCGCCGCGAGAACGGAAGCCCCCGTTGAAATATTGACGGTGTTGGCACCGTCCCCTCCGGTTCCCACAATGTCCACAACATCGTTCAAGCCTTCAACCTTCGTCGCATGTCTCAACATTGCCCTTGCCAACCCCACAACCTACGAATCCACAAAAACCAATAAAAAATATACAAAAGCTCAAACTTTGCAAACAAAAACACTCACTTCTTCATAAGTCTCTCCTTTGGCTCTGAGAAGCACAAGAACCGCGCTGATTAAGGCCTCGTTTGGCTCGTGAAGCAGCGAGTCCAAACACCCTTCGGCTTCATCTTCCGACAAATTCACCCCGGAAATCAGCGTTTCAATCAGCTAGAATCGCATTTTATATATAAATCAACAGAACGAAAAAAAAATTATGAATTACGAATTAAAATCTGATGAATTGTGGTTTGACCTGGGGGAGAGGTTGAACGGATGTAGCTGCATTGCCCGAAACGGTGGCGTTTGAGGAGGCAATCGAAGTGGTTTGAATTAGGGGTGAAATTGGGTGAGAAAAGAAACGGTGTCGTTGGGAGTTGAGATTGGAATACGGTGAAGGAAATGGAAGAGTGAAGGGAGAGAAGAGAGATTTTGCTTGTGTCATGATGAAGAAGAGAGAAGTTAAACATGAGACAAGCAAAATCAATTGGGCAGTAGCAGGGTGGGGAGTCGCATGACGCCCCTCCTTTACTGTATTTCTAAACTGTTTGTTTGTTTTGAGTGCGGAAGGGCGAGGAGATAGGGCGCGGTGTAGTAGCATAGAGGGGAAAAGGGAATTAAGGTTTGAGTGGAAAGGGGATTGCCACGTGGCAATCTCTTATTAGCTGAACTTGCCAATTAATTGGACTAATTGGACATGTTATTTAATTTTAATTTTGGCCAACAGAATAACTAATTAACGCCGTAAGATCCACTTAAACTGTTTTTGCAAAAATTAGGATGTTAGTAAACTTTAAAAAAAAGATGACAACTTTAAATAGACCCTATACACATCGAGGATTAAAGTAGGTATTACTAAATAGTAATTGATATGATTAAATCTATAAATTTATATTAAATTCACGTTAATAAATGAGATAAAGTTTTCTTGTGCAATTAACCGTTTCTGACAAATATTTAGAATCCACCAGTAGTCTTCCTGTGATCCCCACTTTCCATTTTTTAATATTCTTTTTGTGTAAAAAAAGTTTGCCAGAATTGTGATTTTGCAAAGGTAGGTAGATGAAGAATTTAAAACAAGAAAAAAAAAGTTAGAAAGTTTAGAAATTAAAATAAATTAATTGTAGCAGTGTGAATGTAAGAAAATGTACATATAAAATCTTATTTAAGTTTAAATTTTGTAAAAGAAAAATATTAGCTGGACTTTATGTTTTTTAGATTTTTTAATGTATAAGTAGTTATATATCTTAGCTCTAAAAATAACTAAAAAAATAATTTTTTTGAAAAATAAATAATATTTTTAAATAAACTAATTATATTATTTTTACCCGCACAATTCAATCAAGTAATTTATTTTCTATTTATTGACATATTTGTTTATTATTTTATACGTATTGTGTGAAAATAACAGTTTGTTGTTAGGATATGTTTGAAAACATTTATTGATGTTTATTTTAGAGTTAAATTCGTTTTATTCAAATTTAATTGTCCATTTTAAATTTTGATTCATCAAAGTGTTATTATATTTTTTTTTCTAATGAAAATAACTCTATAAAAACTTTTAAGTTATAACTTTGCAAACCATGTGAAATTCACCGTTATAAATATAATTATAATGATCAATAAATTCGCTTAAGAAATATTTTACAATAAAGGAATAAAATGTAAAAATTATTAAAAGTTAAATGATGTCTTGATTATTTTAATAAAGGAAAGATACTTAAGCTTTAGTATTAATGAATTATACAATTACTTTTTTCACTTTACATATAATCCTTTATTTATTTTCATAGCTTTAAGAGCCGTTTTGTTGGATAAAGCTAATCAAATTAATAATTCTCAAAATAGTTAGACTGTACCAAAATTTCCGAGCCTTTGTTTTTCTTTTTCTTTCTTTTAGTTAAATATAATTTTGTTAAGTTGATTCAATTTAATTTTTTTCATTAAATTTATACAATGTCACGTATTAATTTATGATATTTTTTTTGTTTTTAAAGTTTTTTATGTATCCGGTCAGATTCGTGTTGTATCAGTATTATATGTTATTTCGAGTAGCATTTGACCATATAAATGTTTTATATTTTCAGTTTCCATATTTAAAATTTTCATCCAATTGAGTTCTATTTTTTTTTTAAATGGAATAATATTGTCTAATGGATCAAATTAGTAATTAAGTCTATTTACAACTTAATATATATATATATATATATATATATATATATATATATAGATATATATGTTAAAATAAATTTTTAAAATTTATAAATCAAATCACTCCACTAAAATATTGAAATTAATTTTATTTTTTCATTTAAATTTTAAAAATATGTATTTTAAATATAATTTTTAAAATATTAAAAATATAATGTAAAGTGACATTTTTAATTTTTAAAATATTAAAAATGTAATGTAAAGTGATATTTATAATTTTTAAATTTAAATTAAATTTTTTAAACATTTGTTTTAAATTAATTTTTCTAGTAAAAAGCATAAATTTGAAATATGTAGTGACACTTGCATAATGTATGACACCAAGAATGAATAGACAAGTTAAGTTAAAATATGTAAAATATATTAATAATTGTCATTTAAAATTTATGCGAAAATTAACTTTTTTTATTGAGGAATTAAATTTATAAATAAGTTAACAAAGAAAAATATTTTTTTGAATTATTTCAAATATTAAATTTAAAAATTATAAATGTTACTTTACATTTCTATTTTTTAAGACTTAAGTACTAATTTTAGTATATTTTTTTTTTGTTGAGTTTTGTTTAATGTAATCCTAATATATTTTGTTTAATAAAATCTTATATTTTATTAATTTAAGAAATTTTTTAACCATGTTTAAATAGAATGACATGTGAATAAATAGGTCACATGTTAGCTTGTGATTTTTATTTTTTTAATTTTAAAATATGATTCATGTAACATTCTATTTATGAGATGTAATGCGTTACTAAAAATCGATAAAATCCAAAATTTATCATAGTGCAGAAACATATTTAAAAAAAATCTTATTTAATTACATTATTTTGAGTAATAAAATAATTAAGAAAATACTCCAATTATATTGTCTTAACTTGTAAAACAAAATAGCTTTAAATGAATCCAAGGTTATTCCTCGTCCTCTCTAGTCAATCACGCCTCTACAGCATCTGTAACATTATCTGCTCACGTATAACACATTATACGATCACCATCGATAATTTCATTCACAAACACATAAACACAAACATGCATGGGTAAGCTACCGATAAAATAATCATAACAAGATACATACATACTGATTATATCAATCATAATCAAACACACAACAAGATACATATCTTCTAATTATACCAATTATAATCAAACACACAACAAGATACATACCTTCTGATTATATCAACTTAATCAAATACCTCATACATAGTAGTAATAATAATAGGATTCATAATCCTCTAACATAAACAATTCAATCATACTGAAGATCCTCGATCCCTAACCCATGAACTTCGATCATCGATCCTTGATCTCTAACCCTTGATATCATCACTAATATCTCACACATAAACCCTTGGTCTATCCACTCATTAGCATCCATGTTAACTACTTACTATAATCATTATAGTAACACCACTATCAATATAACACAACTTGGAGCATCTCAAGTACCATGATCATCATCATAGATAGACCACCATCACAATTATCCAGTCATGAAAACCACCATGAACATCACCGTAACATAATACTATAGTGAGAAAAGTCCATCTCACTCATGCACCCTACCTCACCAACTGTAGTTGCTCCTATAACCTACCTGTAGTCTTCCCTACAAATCATTTCCTTCCAATGCATACAAGGCAAAAGGAAGCACTTATCTGCAGATAAAACCAGGATTTTGCGAGGTACAACAAATAGACTTATCTTCCACTCTCATGCTCATCAATCACATACTCAGGTACATCCCAATACTCACTCATGTTCTACTCTCAAACACAAGTCAAACTAACCCTAAACATAACCATTAACCTCAATCTCTGATTATCATCATGTTCCACAACTCCTCAGGCTTAGTTCACGTCCATTCTTCATCAAATTCGTCATTTTTCACTAAAATGCATTGTGACAATCAATTATCACTTAAGATAATCGATTATCTCAATGAAATTTACCCAAAAACATCACGCAGGAAGGGATAATTGATTATCATCCCAAATAATCGATTATTCCCGAAACCACACTCAAACTGATGTACAGATAATCGATTGTAACTTATGATAATCGATTATTGTCGAAACAAAGCACATCTTGAACATGATTCAAGCATTCCAACATACATACATGCATTCAAGCATCACATACCCATGTAAGCATACTCAAACACATATAATACATCACTTGAATCATCAAAATCCCATCATTGACATGTTATATCCCAATAATAGGGAGCAAAAGAATCTCCAATAAAAACACCAAAGCGGGTCTTCAATCAACCAAACTAAGCATAATGCTTACAAATGAGAACCAAGAAGATTAAAATTCTTCAAAATAGACATCTGATTGACGATCTGAACGGTCAGAATGAAGAACCATACGTCTGGAAACCACTGTGCAAACTCAAGCCGATCCAACGGTGAACGACTTCACAACGACGAAAACACCAGTGTAGATTTTATGTTATGCGGGAATGACTTCTTCTCTTCCTTTCTCTCTCACTTGGCTTTTTCCTCTCTTCAAATGACTCTAATGTGTCCTATTAATCTGACCCATCTCCACTAAAACAAAGTGATACATAATGGTCCATATTATTTAGGTTATTCTCCAATAGGAAAGGAGTCCAATAACCCAACACTTTCAACATATATTTGCATGGAAACCGTCAAGCATCATAACTTTTTTCTCTCTTAGCATCAAACTCTTTGTTGGNTATATATATATATATATAGATATATATGTTAAAATAAATTTTTAAAATTTATAAATCAAATCACTCCACTAAAATATTGAAATTAATTTTATTTTTTCATTTAAATTTTAAAAATATGTATTTTAAATATAATTTTTAAAATATTAAAAATATAATGTAAAGTGACATTTTTAATTTTTAAAATATTAAAAATGTAATGTAAAGTGATATTTATAATTTTTAAATTTAAATTAAATTTTTTAAACATTTGTTTTAAATTAATTTTTCTAGTAAAAAGCATAAATTTGAAATATGTAGTGACACTTGCATAATGTATGACACCAAGAATGAATAGACAAATTAAGTTAAAATATGTAAAATATATTAATAATTGTCATTTAAAATTTATGCGAAAATTAACTTTTTTTATTGAGGAATTAAATTTATAAATAAGTTAACAAAGAAAAATATTTTTTTGAATTATTTCAAATATTAAATTTAAAAATTATAAATGTTACTTTACATTTCTATTTTTTAAGACTTAAGTACTA